AATGTATCCCGTAGATTCTGACATGTAGTATTTTCATTGTTATTACTTCTTAAAAATTCTATAATATCCAGTTTTTATTCTCCCTTTCCCCAGAACTTAATAGGTTTTAAATTTGTCAGATAAAGGATCTTTTTGCTATTATGTTGTTGTCAATAAGTTCTAGTTATATCAGCGTGTTTTATCAGCATTTGATCAGCATGTTTGTAAGAATTCTATTCACAGAAGTTACTTGCATTCCCTTTGTGACTAACTAGTAGGACCCTGTCCCTGAAGGCATGATGGGAGCATGGAGAGAATGTGTATCTATTACTCGAGTATGGAGTTCAACTAATACACGCCAGGTCTACCCTGTTCACTACTCTATTTATACTGCATGTATCTCATTAGTTATATTCTGTCTATTAGATCTTGACATCAAAAAATGCAAATTAAAACCACAATGAGATATCACTGCACACTGATTAAAACAGGGAACTAGAAAGCAGGATGATGCCAGTGCTGACAAGGACGCTGAGAAACTGGGAGAGGCGTTGCTGGTAGGAGGGTCAAATGGTGCCGCCTCTCTGGAAACTAGTCTGACAGTTTCTTCCAGAACTGTGAAAGCTATGAACGTGTGCATACCATAGAATCCAGTGACTGCACTAAGACATTTATGCCAGAGAGCTAAAAATATAGGGTGTCCCCAAAAAATGTATTCACACAAAAAAGTGTAATTATAAAGCTAGTATTTATTAAAATACATTTCATTTTCAAAAGGTAGCATATCTACAGACACTGTAGGGTGTTTTGGGAAACCCAGTATATGTTCACACAAAACCTGTTTTAACAGTTCAATGCTGCTTTATTCATAGTAACCCATATAGGGAGACCACCCAAATGTTCTTCAGGAGCTGAATAATTAAACAAGCTCTAGAATACTACTCAGCACTAAAAAGAAATAATTACTGATATATGCAACAACTTGGATGGATCTCAGGGCACTATGTTTAGTGAAAAAAAGGTTACATTTAGATAATATGATTTCATTTACTTGAATCATTTACATGATTCCATTTATGTAACACTCTCAAAATGACAAAGTTGCGATGGAGACCAAATTAGTGGTTGTCAGAGGGCAGACGGGGACTGGACCAGGGGCAGTGATGACTATTTAAGAGGTAGCATGAAGAAGCTCCTTTGTGTTGATGAAACGGTTCTATATTTTTATTGGGGCAGTATTACCACAAACTTATACATGAGATCAAACTTCACAGAACTACACACACACACACACACACACACACACACACACGAGTGCATGTGAAAACTGAATACGCATAAGGTCTGTAGTCGAGGTATTATAGCAATGTCACTTTCCTGGTAATGGTACTGCACTAAAGTCATGTAAGTTGTTACCACTGGGGAAGCTGAGTGCAGGGCTCAGGAAACTGTATCAACTATTTCTGTAATCCCTTGTGAGTCTATAATTTCAAAAGTAAAAGGTTTTTTAAAATTATTTTTCATTTCATTTTTTTAATGTTTTCATTTATTTTTTTTTAGAGAAAGAGGAAAGGAGAGAGGGATAGAAACATTGATGTGAAAGATACATCTATCGGCTGCCTCCTGCACGCCCCCTACTGGGGATGGAGCCCGGAACCAGGGCATGTGCCCTAACTGAGAATTGAACCAGGACCTCTCAGTCCAAGGGTCAATGTTCAATACACTGAGCCATACTGGCTGGGCATTCTAAGGTAAAAGTTTTTTAAATGATAAAATAAATGAATATTATCTTTATGTTATTATGATTCTGACACCTATTCTGATGTATTTTTTTTCACACCACCAAGCAATTAACTCAATTCTGACACTACCTGCCTTGAGATAGCATCAGATCCCACAAGTGCAGGGCTCAGTTCTACACGAGGGTCCCTCCTCTCCCCAATCTCAGATGCCAAGTATAAGCCCAGGTTGTCACCTGTGCTTCTGATTGATCTACTATAGGTCAGAATGTTCACCCAGGCCCCTCCTCAGATTCAATTAATTTCCTAAAGGGGCTCACAAACCTCAGAGAAACATTTAGTCACACTTACCAGTTTACTATAAAGGATATTGTAAAAGATATATATGCACAGTTGATGGAAAAGATGAAAGGGTAAGGTATGTGGGAAGGGGCACAGTACCTTATGCCCTCTCTGAGCTCCCCACTCTCCCGCATCTCCACATTCAATAACCCAGAAGCTTCATAGTCTGTCCTGCTGGGATTTTAATAGTTTCATTACATGGGTATGACTGATTAAATCACTGGCCACTGGTGATTGATTCAGCCTTGAGCCCTTCTCTCCTTGGGGGAGGGGTACAGAAATGTTCAACCTTTTAATCACCTTTTTGGTTCCCCTAGGAACCAGTCCCCATCCTTAAGTGCTTTCCAAAAGGGGTTCATTATGAGTATAAAGACAACTTGATTACTCTTATCACTTAAAAAATTCCAAGGGTTTGCCCAGCTGGTGTGGCTCAGTGGACTGAACGCTGGCTGACCCATGGACTGCGAGGTCCCGTTTGATTCCCGGTCAGGGCACATGCCCAGTAGGGGGCATGCGCGGGGCAGCCAATCAATGTTTCTCTTTGACATCGACGTTTCTATCTCTCTCTCTTCCTCTCTCTCTAAAAAAGTCAATAAAAACATATTTTGAAAAAGTGTTCCAAGGGTTTTAAGAGCTCTGCACTGGAAATGGGGACAAAGACCAAATAAATATATATTCCACATTATAAATCCCAATATTGTGAGCTCTCTGGAGCACCTCCACGCCTTTCTTACCTCTCAGGGATGCATCTTTACTTTTCTCTCCTAAACTCTCAGGGTTCCCACAAGACTTGCAACCAGGGGAGCAACAGGCAGCAGCAGCTCATCCTAGGCTCACTCCCTGAACCTGTCTCCAAGGCCCCCTTTCCTCTGACTTCATGGTGAGCTAACAGCAACTCCCCCTTGGCTCACCTCTTTCCTGTAATGTTTCTAGAGAGCCAAAGCAGAGCACTGCCTGGACTCTCTCCTGTTACTTCCTCTAGCCTAGACTTTTCAGTGAGCTAAAAGCAGCCTGCCTTGCCTCACTTCTGTCACTGTGACTTACTTCTCAGTGAGTCCATGCAGCCCAGTGTGGCTCACTTCTTTCCTATACCATTTCTAGAGAGCCAAAGCAGAGCACTGCCTAGGGCTCTCTCCTATTTCTTCTTCTAGACTAAACTCCTCCTTTGTTTCACTGTCCCCAGCTTTAATAAATGTACTCTCAAAAAAAAAAAAAAAATCAATCCCAATAACACAGCTAATAATTCTAAAATTTATGTCTTAATTTCAAACCTTTCCTGAGTTTTAGACTTTGTTTCCAATGCTTATATGACATCTCTACTTGGGTACCTCAGAGATATCTAAAACTTACATGCCTAAAACAGAACACTTAATTTTCCCCATGAACTGATTACCTCTTAGTCTTTCCTAATACAGGCAACCTACTTACTAAAATCAGAAACTCAGCAGTAGAGTTCTCTTCTTCCCTCATCTGCAAACCCACACCACCAGGAAATCCTGTTAACCCTATTCACGGCTATATCTCAAATCCATTCACTTCTCATGATCTCCACTGGCCTCCCATTATCTCCCAACCTGAACTCCTATAACTTTGACCTCTGAGTCCACTCCAGGATCAGCCCTTCACAACCACAGCCCAAGTGTTCTATTCGTTATTTTCCTTCAGCGCATTCATTATCGCCTGCAAATATTTCATTTCCATGTCTGTCTTCCACGCAGCATGTGAGTGCCCCAAAGGCAGGCACCAGGCGCACACTGTTCACAACTGTATCCCAGGACACGGTGCCTCAGTGTCAACACTGAGCTAGTGTGGGGCAGGGCAGGATACAGGAAAATCCTGCGCTTCCCAAACACCACTGTTGTTGTTCTCATTGTTATCATTCTTTTCTGCTTACACTGCCTTTCTTTTTGAATTTTTATTATTCAGAGGTTGGAATTCTGTGCATTATCTTCTTGTTATTCTAATTAATCTTTTGTGTAATCTTATACATACTGATAGCTATTTTTCTATGATTACTATTTCAGTATTTTATAAGATATATTTTGCTTAATACTTCTCCCACTAATCTTACTATATTGTTATTATATCATATGCGGGTTCAACACCGTACATTCATTCTCTCGTTTAATCTTCCCACAACCCTATAAGCTACGTGTGCATTTTGATCTCCATTTCACAGAGAGGAGAAAGGGGTGTAATGAGGTCGAGTAACCTGCCTAAAGGCACAGACTTTGGAAGTTCTAGGACCAGGTCTCAAATGCTGGTCCATTTGAGTCCAGAGACAATAACTACTAGTTTATACTATCTCCCTTACTTTGTCTTCCTTTTTTTATTCTTGGAGAAAAAGACAGCTACTGGTTTCTTCATTCAACAGCTTACTTTAAAGAAGCAGGATGAACGTCAGAGAAGGAAGGAGCTTTCCCAGCACTGGGAGATAGAACAACAAGCGCTCAAACCACAGCCGTCTACGGCCTGCGCTTCTTTCATTACCTCAAAGATTCTTAACCAGAGGCTAGGAAATTTCACAGAACTTTGGAGGTCCATGGAACCACTTAGTATTATATGCAAAATTTTGGGTCTATCTGCTTAAGTCCATTTTACTAGAGAAATGGCCCACAGTTTCTCAAAGAGGTCTATGACTCTCGAAAAGGTTAAGAACCACCACTATGCTGATTCTCTAAGCAAATGAAACATGAACCCCAATATTTCTTAAAATGCATATGATTTACAATGTACAAGTTTGATAATTCTTCCCTAAGTAGCACGGTAATCATTTTTATAAATTATGTTTTCATTCTTACTAAACAAAATAAAGCAATATGCTCCAGCAAACTTATTTAGAAAACATTTTATAAAATTACCATTTTAGTTCTACTTTTTTTCTAAAGCGTATATATACTTTAAGTACTACGATATTATTATATGTAAAATGTTCCTTACATTCTTCAGGCTGGACAGATGAGTAACTCCCAAGATTTAACAACTGACTGGTAAATGTTGATTGTAGTACTGTCTCACCAACACAATGACCTTCATGAATAGTAACATCTAGAAAGGGGGGGGAAAGTTCGGATCATTCTATGTTAACTTACCAATCATAACAAAATATTATGAATCCTCCCACACACCAGGCAACTGAAATTCAAATACATTAAATGATCTGCCTAAAGGCACAAAACTATAAAAGAGCAAATCTGAAATCTGAGTCTAGGTATATCTGTATGTAGGTAAAATAACAAAACTGCTTCTGTATATTTAAACAATATCAATATGGAAGCTCACTGCTTCACCAAGAACATTCATCACTTTTGTTTACATAAGATAAATGCTACAATGTACATTTCTGAGGCAAGTATATCATTCAGGACCAAGAAGCAAAACAGTGGTTCCAAAGCAACAGTGCCTAGAAGAGCACATAACATTCAGGATGCATTTACCAGTTCTGCTACACACATATCAACATATGACGGACTTGGACCATTCTTCCCTAAGTAGCACGGTAATCACCTCTGGATGTTAAAGGTGAAAGACTTTGGAGGTAAGGAATCGTTCCCAATTTGGAAAGGGGGGGAGTGGACGAGCTAGGATAGAAAAGAATCATTTCGTGGAATTAAACACACCAAGAGGCAGAGAGAATGTTAAGCAGAGCAAAACTGTAAGTTAGAAGCAGACTGATCCCAGGCAGGATTAATTTAAGTGAATAATATGTTAAAGGCATAAAGATATACTAAGAGCAAAAAGAAAATTAACTTAGAGAAAAGAAGAAAAACGAAGATGTATAAATTCCAATTACTTCCAAATTTAATTCCAGACCTCAGTTTCAAACCCTTTTAGCCATGTGCCCACAACTGCCTGATGGGCATTCCTGACTGGACAGTCTATCGGCTCCCCAACTCAGCTCAGCTCAAACCTGCTTTTCTTCTCCTACTACCCATGTCACTTGTTGGCACTATGCTGCCAGCCAGGTAAATTAAAATGTGGGGTCATCCTGAACTTCCACCTCTCCCTTCCCACCTGTCACCAACCCTCTGCTTTTGAGTCTGCCTCCGGAATCCTCCCACAGCCCTGCCACTGCTACTGGTCACACCTCAGGAAGTTTCCTAGGGGAGCCGATCAGCAGCAGAGAGTGAGCACTGCATCAGGACAGGAGTTAGATGGACTGGCCTACTAGCAAATAAGATGATACTGCCAGTGGGACGAGATTATGCTACACCTGTCAGCTACAGTCCCATGCTTGTCTCCACTGGAGGCAGCACCTGACGATCCCACACACTGCCAAGGTGTTACTAAGGTTCTCATCCCCAGCAAACTGTTTGGAAACTACTCATGACTGCCTTGATGTTTTCTTTTCCTAAGCTTCTAAGGCTGACCCTATACCTCTTCTCTATCACATTCTTTTTTCAGGCATGTTATTCAGCTAAATCAACTTCTTCCTGGTCTGAGATTCACCCTTAAAATGACTGGTATTTCTGCTCTGATACACTGTGTATTGACTTAAAATCAATATAGAATTGTAACAAAATATTAAATTTTTTATGTCAGGTGAAAAAGCAAGATGAAAAACTCTATGCTCACCCTGGCCCGTTTGGCTCAGTGAACAGAGCGTCAGCCTGCGGTCCAGAAAGATCCGGGTTCGGTTCCCGCTAAGGGCACGTACCTCGGTTGCAGTTTGTCCCCAGCCCCTTTCAGGGTCATGTGGGTGGCAACCACTTGATGTGTCCCTTTCACATCGATGTTTCTCTCTCTCTCCTTCCCTCCCACTCTATCTGAACAAAATATCAAAAAGGTGTCCTCAGGTGAGGATAAAAAACAAAGAACTCTCTGTTCTTTATGATTACAGCTACAGAGTAAAGGTGTGGATTCTGGAGTCCGGGTGAGATCCTTCCTGGAGTGTGTGACATTGGGAAGTTACTTCACTTCTCTAGGTCTGTTTCCTCAACGGGAAAATGGTAACAACCAGGATCTTCCTCATATAGTTGTAAAGAGTTGACATACACATGTAAAGTCTAAAACAGGGTTTAGCGTGCAGTCAATTCCCAATAAATATGAGCTTCTATATATGCATGCACACAAGTTTTAAGAAGTATAGGGAAGATACCTGGTAACACTCCAAAACTCTACAGATGGCCATGTGAGCTCGGGATGGTATCAGGAGTTTCCTTTTCCATATTTCCAAATGTGATTAATATCATTTCAATAATTAACAAGTGCAGTAGAAATTCTGTATCTGTTCCCTCAAAAAGAATGTGATGTACACAGCATTACTAGGGATCAACTAAAGTGGTAGAAACACTGTCTCTTTATCATGAAACTGCTAACATAGCGAAAGAAAAGGGCTTAAAATAAAACATACATAGACGAAACTGTAAGAAAGCAAAGACTGAGCCTGATGCTCTGACCCGAAGGCTGACATATGAACACGCAGCAGGAGCAGCCAGGGAGAAGGGGAGCGGGAGCAGCCAGGGAGAAGGGAGCGGGAGCAGCCAGGGAGAAGGGAGCGGGAGCGGGAGCAGCCAGGGAGAAGGGAGCGGGAGCGGGAGCAGCCAGGGAGAAGGGAGCGGGAGCGGGAGCAGCCAGGGAGAAGGGAGCGGGAGCGGGAGCAGCCAGGGAGAAGGGAGCGGGAGCAGCCAGGGAGAAGGGAGCGGGAGCGGGAGCGGGAGCAGCCAGGGAGAAGCGGGGCGGGAGCAGCCAGGGAGAAGGGAGCGGGAGCGGGAGCAGCCAGGGAGAAGGGAGCGGGAGCGGGAGCAGCCAGGGAGAAGGGAGCGGGAGCAGCCAGGGAGAAGGGAGCGGGAGCGGGAGCAGCCAGGGAGAAGGGGGGCGGGAGCGGGAGCAGCCAGGGAGAAGGGGGGCGGGAGCAGCCAGGGAGAAGGGGGGCGGGAGCGGGAGCAGCCAGGGAGAAGGGAGCGGGAGCAGCCAGGGAGAAGGGAGCGGGAGCAGCCAGGGAGAAGGGGGGCGGGAGCAGCCAGGGAGAAGGGGGGCGGGGGCGGGAGCAGCCAGGGAGAAGGGGGGCGGGAGCAGCCAGGGAGAAGGGGGGCGGGAGCGGGAGCAGCCAGGGAGAAGGGAGCGGGAGCGGGAGCAGCCAGGGAGAAGGGAGCGGGAGCGGGAGCAGCCAGGGAGGAGGGAGCGGGAGCGGGAGCAGCCAGGGAGGAGGGAGCGGGAGCGGGAGCAGACAGGGAGGAGGGAGCGGGAGCGGGAGCAGCCAGGGAGGAGGGAGCGGGAGCGGGAGCAGCCAGGGAGGAGGGAGCGGGAGCGGGAGCAGCCAGGGAGGAGGGAGCGGGAGGGGAGCAGCCAGGGAGGAGGGGGGCGGGAGCAGCCAGGGAGCAGGGAGCGGGAGCGGGAGCAGCCAGGGAGGAGGGAGCGGGAGCGGGAGCAGCCAGGGAGGAGGGAGCGGGAGCGGGAGCAGCCAGGGAGGAGGGAGCGGGAGCAGCCAGGGAGGAGGGAGCGGGAGCGGGAGCAGCCAGGGAGGAGGGAGCGGGAGCGGGAGCAGCCAGGGAGGAGGGAGCGGGAGCGGGAGCAGCCAGGGAGGAGGGAGCGGGAGCGGGAGCAGCCAGGGAGGAGGGGGGCGGGAGCAGCCAGGGAGGAGGGAGCGGGCGGGAGCAGCCAGGGAGGAGGGGAGCGGGAGCAGCCAGGGAGGAGGGGGGCGGGAGCAGCCAGGGAGGAGGGAGCGGGAGCGGGAGCAGCCAGGGAGGAGGGAGCGGGAGCGGGAGCAGCCAGGGAGGAGGGAGCGGGAGCGGGAGCAGCCAGGGAGGAGGGAGCGTGCGGGGGGCGCAGGCCAGGGAGGAGGAGACGGTGGAGCGGGTAGCAAGCCCGGGAGGCGGGTAGCAGGGAGGCTTGGAGCAGCCAGGGAGGAGGAGCCCGGCGAGCGGGAGCAGCCAGGGAGGAGGGCGCCGGGGTGCAGCGGGAGCGCCAGGGAGGAGTGGGGCGGGAGCAGCCAGGGCGGAGGGGGGCGGGAGCAGCAGCCAGGGATGAGGGGGCGGGAGCAGCCAGGGAGGAGGGGAGGGGGAGCAGCCAGGGAGGAGGGGGGCGGGAGCAGCCAGGGAGGAGGGGGGCGGGAGCAGCCAGGGAGGAGGGGGGCGGAGCAGCCAGGGAGGAGGGGGGCGGAGCAGCCAGGGAGGAGGGGCGGGAGCAGCCAGGGAGAAGGGGGGGCGGGAGCAGCCAGGGAGGGCCGCTTAGGGAGAAGGAAGCGGAGGGAGGGAAGGGCTGAGCAGGCCGGAACACAGGCCCAGAGAAGGCAATGCACAGAGCACCGGCCCGCAGAGGACGAGGAAGCCCACACGGCATCACGAGAGGGTCAGTGATGCTGGGGCCCGAGAGTCAAAGGGAAAGACGTGTCCTCAGGCAGGAAGGCCCAATGCCGGCAGCTCTGTAAACCAAACCGCGCTCCACCGCGATGGCCTCACCTGTGAGTAACAGGATATCTCCAAGAAACACCGTCAGTGCCCAAAACGCAGCGGCCCTCCACAGAACCACCTTCTTCTTCGCCTCTGACTGGTCAATCACCATGAGTGTTGCCAAAGGCACTGTAGAGCCAGAATTAGGTCCGGATTTTATATTTATTTCTTTCACGTGACATGGAGATAGCACTATGACTAAACAATTATACTTCCGACTTTTAGAGTCACAGTTGGCAAGCAGTGCTGTTTTCTGGCTGCCCTTAAACCCAGACACACGCTGGCCCTTTGCTGCGGCAGGGCCTCCTGCTCTAGGAACCAACTTAAGTTTCTTGGAAACGGGGGGAACTTTAAGATGGCCCAACTGACCTTCAGAGGTCCAAGTTCGTTTACCAGAACTTCTGTGGAGGGCATTCACCTGGGAACAGAGTATTCCTGAGTTATATGACTCAATACGTATCTCATTTGAGGGCAGTTTATCTTCTAAACTGAAAAGTTCTTGAGAGCCCACGTTCTCTTCAAGACCTTCATCAGGCTTCACGTGAACGTGGCTAATTTTCCTTTCAGGTGAAACAGGACTAAAAAGTTCAAGGGAATATGCTTGGTTTTCTCTACTTTCATGTCTTTCTGCAAAATCATCATCAGGCTGAATCAAATTATCTTTAGTTACTTTTATTTCCCCATGACTTGCTTCTGGTTCAATCTCCGTCTCTTTATTTATAGAATTCTCCCCTTTACACTTCCTTTGAGCTAAGAAAGCAAACTGGCTGGAGGTCACTATACTGAGAAATTCCGTATCGGTAGATACATTAAGGTCGGAGACCTTCCTAACTGCTTCTCCAGACCCTGGTTTATCTACGGTGTCAGAACTCTTTTCCAGACGCTGGTTTCGAATTTCATGTTCTGCTGGTATGTACCTCATGTCCACAGCGCCTGGCCTGGCATCAATCTGTTCAGTGCTGCAGACCAAATTCAATGCAGATACACACTCAGGGTCTAATTGAAAGCAATTTTTTTGGACGTTTTGACCACATATATTCGACTGATGTTTATGCTGTTCAACTGTGATTTTCTTATTTTCACTGAAAAGCTTTTGATACTTCTCTTCTTCAGTTAAATGCTGACCCTTACATCCACATATTTGGACTTCAGACCTAGTTCCATCACTCATCCCTAAGGGGTGACTCTTCTCGGATTCTAGAGTCTGTGCTTCAGAAATACAATGTATAAAGTCACCTTTCACATGAACACATCTATGCCTAGAGTTGGTTAAACAATGACCACTGAGAAGATCTGGAGAGCCAGTAGCTCCTAGGGTTTGATCATCTTCAACATTTTTATTCTTGCATTTTTCATCCTTCAGATGTAAAGAATGTTGATTGTATAAAAGCTGAACTTTTGTCCAGGGGTCAGCAGTAGACACTGAAGAAGTTGGTTCCTGTGATACTGTCATTTTCAATGGACCAATTGGAGCACCCCAAAAAATATGGATTTCAGATCCTCTACTCATGGTTTCTGAAAAAAATGAAAATCTAAAATTAGTATTTTGTCAGTAGATCTTTATATCTTTTTTAAAAATGTATGTTTTTATTGGTTTTTAGAGAGAAGAAGGAGAGAGAGATAGAAACATCAATGTGAGAAGCATCAATCAGCTACCTCCTATACGCCCCTACTAGGGATCAAGCCTGCAACCCAGACATCTGCCCTGACCAGGAATCGAACCCAGACCTCTCAGTCTATGGGATGACACTCAATACACTGAGCCACATGGGCCAGGCAAATGTAATATAAATTATTCATCAAAAACACAAGTAATAGCCATGGTTGGTGTTGCTCAGTGGTAAGAGTGTCGGCCCATGCACCAAAGGATCGCAGGGTCAACCCCCAGCCCCCATCAGGGCGTGTGCAGGAGGCAACCAATCAGTGTGTCTCTCTCACATCAATGTCTGTCTCTCCCCTCCTTCCCTCCATTCCAGTCTATAAAAATTTAAAATAAAATCAATGGAAAAAATATCCTTGGATGAGAATTAACAAACAAAAAAAATCCACAATGAATAGAGGTGAATTATATTGATACTCCATTTAGTTATGAAATTCATAAATATATAAATCATAAAGATAAATAAAAATATCCAGAAAAATGTTCATGTAAAGACCTGCTTTAATAAATTAAATTAGCCCGACCAGTGTGGCTCAGTGGTTGAGCATCAACCCAGGAATCAAAAGGTCACCAGTTCGATTCCCAGTCAGGGCACATACCCAGGTTGTGGGCCAAATCCCCAGTGGGGGGCCTGCAGGAGGCAGCCAATCCATGTTCTCTCTCATCTATGTTTCTATCTCTCTCTCCCTCTCCCTTTCTCTCTCTCTAAAATCAATAAAGAAAAAAATTTTAAATAAATTACAATAGAGAGAGGAAGAAGATGGTGATGGAGTAGGTGGAAGTTACACTCACCTCCACCCAGGCTCGAACTGGAACTGCAACTAAAACATAGAATTTCCATAACCATGGATTCACAGAAGGAGCCAAACCGAGACTGGAAGGAGGATGAAAAGGGCTGACCCTGCTCCCACAGCAGCCACTGCGAATCCAGAGATGTCCGGTGCGAGGGTTCCCCCTGAGTAATGTGGGGTCTCAATCCCAGGCGAGGCCCCGCAGCCAGAAGCACAGAGCAGAAGAGGCACCCACGCCCATGTCGCTGTAAAGGTCGGCAGGGGTGCTGCTTACCAGGAGTCAGCGGCAAACCCAGCGCCCTCTTGAAGGGCTGGCTCATACAACCTGGCTGGCAGCCACTCACCCTGGGCTCCGGGGAGGGAAGGTGGCTCGGGGTGAGCTGGAGTCTTGTGAAGACCCACTGGGTTGCGTGGCTCTGGGAAGGGGCTGAAGAGACAACCACCAGAGTCCCTGTGCTGTTTCTCTCCCACACCACCACAGTGCCATCTTTCCTGGGCTGACCGCACCCCTCCAAACTGCATCAACCTGGGGGACTGCTCAAGCCTCAGCCTCCAGACCCCTACTGCCCCATCTGGCAAGCCCACACCAGATGGGTGGAGGAATCGGCTGCCTGGGTCTGTAGTGTAGACTTTCGCGAAGGGATCTTGAGAGTGAGCTTGGGAAGGACCAGAGACAGACCGGTGTTGCTCTGGGGCAAAAGCCATTTCTCCTGGCCTCAGCAGAGTGGGGGCCTCCAGTGTGACACCCCACCAACAGGCCAGAGCAGCGGCATCCCATCCCCCAAGGGAGACTCACTGACCCTGCCAGGGAGAGCTTCAAGCCTCACCCCCCGCCCAACTCCTGCTGGCCCCGAACTGCTGGGCTTGCAACAGTGTCAGCCGGCTGTGCCAGCCTAGTGTCTCCCCTGCCCGACAGAAGGCACTCCAGGACAGCGGGGCAGACCCCGGGAAGCACAGTTGTATGGTTCTTGGGCAGGGTCATTTTCCCCTGGCACGCCAGATAGCGCCACCGTTCCTGTGCAGAGCCCTCCATTCACACAGCCAAATATTGGCATGTTTGCGCCTGATGAACACTGTTGGCCTCACCCTAATGAACCACCAAGACCGTGCCCTGGCAGGTGGCAGCTAAACTTGATGTACCCCAAGACTGTGGTTGAGTGGCCTCAAACCCAGTACTGGTGCCAAGTTTGAACATGTATCAATCTGGTGAACACCACTCGTCCTTACCTGCTAGTTCACTCACACAACACACATACCACCAGAGGCTCTTGCCGTTACTAAGCTTAACAGGCAGCTAACAGGTAAGAGGGGATCTCTGGGAGCCTTGGGTCTTTTGCTGACCTGCCCCTAGGCTCTGTGATGGTGGAAATAAGCCTTGGGGCACAGGTAGGCCCCTCCTACTCCGACTTGTGCCCAGCAGAGGCAGCCACAAAATCTGGATCACTGTGTAGCTCCAAACAGGTAGCCCAGGCTGGGCACAGGCCATGCCTGACATTATTAACCAGCACTGGATCTCCTCTTAAGTGGCCCAGAAACAACACACCCAGTGGGTGCAGACCACATCAGAACACTACCCTATTAGCTCCACAAGAGGCACACACAAAAGGACATCTTGGCAGACACCAGACACTGCTGGGGGGAATTCAGCTTTGTAGAGTCAATCCCCACAGAGCAGTTTATACACTGTGCTCAGGGTCGATCCAGCCACAGGGACAACCCCACCCACAAATGGGTCAACAGCAATTAAGACTCAACAACAAGAAGAAGGCCTAGATAACCAGCACAAGGGACATTCCTAAAGCACCTAGCTCAGGTCATCAGGGAGGCCACACCACTGAGCTGCACCAGACACCTACTACATACGGCCACCAGACCACGACTGGGAAGGAAAGCCGATCTACCGCACACACAGAAACAATTACAGACAGGCAGCCAAAATGAGGAGACAAAGAAACATGCAACAAATGAAAGAACAGGAGAAATGCCCAGAAAAAGAGCTAAATGAAATGGAGGCAAGCAATTTACCAGGCACAGAGTTCAAAACAATGGTTATGAGGATATTCAAGGAATTTAGTGAGAATTTCAACATACAGACACCAAACATTTATAGAAAACATATTTTAAAAACAGCCAGAAATGAAGAATACAATATCTGAAATGAAGAATGACTAGAAAGAATCAACAGAAGGATACATGTAGCAGAAAACTGAATTGGCAATTTGGAAGACACGGTAGCAGAAAACACTCAATAAGAGCAGCTAAGAAAAAAAAAATTTTTTTAATGGAAACAGTTTACAGGACCTCAGGCATAACATGAAGCATGGCAACATCTACATCACATGGTACCAGAACAAAAAGACAGACAGCAAGAAATTGAGAATCTATTTAAAGAAATAATGGCTAAAAACTTCCCTGACCTGGTGAAAGAAAAAGATAAACAGGTCCTGGAAGCACAGAAATCCCAAACAAGATGAACACTAAGACATATCATAATTAAAATGTAAAGATTAAAGACAAAGAGAGAATCTTAAAAGCAGCAAGAGAAAAGCAGTTAGTTACCTACAACAGAGCTCCCATAAGACTGTTAGCTGGTTTCTCAACAGAAACTCCAGGAGGGATTGGCATGCAATATTCAAAATGATGAAAAGCAAGGACCTACAACCAAGACTACTCTACCC